ATGATCATTGCCTCGTGATGGCCAATTTACAATGAAAACAATTTACACTATAAACAAACTCTCTATAAAACCATTTTTTCCGGTTTATTTAACTTAAGAATTTAAACATAAACGTTTATGGAATAAGGTATAGCGAATTTATATCAGTGAATTAGAGAAAATTAGTATATGAGAAAATGAATAATTGGTTATTAACTTTATAGTTGAATTCATGAGTCAATGGAAGTTAGTTCACCATGAAAAATCTGGAAGCATTGGATGGCCGTTTCGTCTCAGTATTGGACTCCTCAGCAGTGCGCATCCACGATCTCGCCCTGCGAGATTAGAACCAAGGACCTATCAGTCTCCCGAGCAAACACCTAACCTCTAAACCACTGAGCAAGCATCCAACGGTGTTAACGTCTAACTTCAACCAATTCATGAAATTGAGCCATTGCTGGAGACTGAGTTCGAATCTCGTGGGGTGATATCATGGATGCATACTGTTGAGAAGCCCTATACCAGAACAAAACGGTCACCCAGTGGTTTTAGATTTTCTATGGTGGTCTAGCTTCAATTGACACATAAATTCAACTTTAAAATTACTAAAATCTCCATAAAACCCTTTTCTGATAATTGGTTATTAGCTATTATTAGAAATTCATATTTTCGAATTAGTGGGAAAAAGGAAACGAAATTGTTTATACAGATGTTTAGCTAGTTCGTGCTATTAGTTTTATTAAAGTATTTACAAAAACTTACAGAATTTACAAAAATTACACCTTATATATAGTAACTAGATCAAAGTTCTTCTGTGTGAAGTAAATTTTGCAACATTGAGTAAAGGAATCGATAAGAATAAAAGAAAGGTGTTAATTGTTTGATTGAACAAGTGTATGAATTTTTAAAATACGTTAATTGTTATTGTTAATCGTAACTGATCTTCAATCCGTGTTTCTTCGTACAAGTTCATCCAATGAGGATTGCCTCGATATAGACATTTTACCGCATGTTTCCATATAATAGACAGATTTGTAGCTTAAATTGGAATTCAAGATGCTCGTTATGTCCTACTTGAAACTCGTCATCTGGAGATACATGCGTTCTATTGGTGATCTTCACACTAGGACTCTAATCTATTACATATTATTTAAAAAGCTTACTGAGCTACTGAGTTCAGGCAGACTCTCTTGCTTAAGCGACAGGTTTATTATTTGCGTTATTATTAGGAAAATTACTAACTAGCCCGTCTCAAGTAGGATGGAATGTTTATTTTGTATTTCTGTTCTAGTCACATGTATACCTATTCTATAAAAACAATAAGCGAAACTCTAGTTCGAATGATGAAGTCAAACATGTATAAGAAAAAAACAGTAAAGGTTAAAGATAATCATATTTGACAAGTGTGATGCTTTAAACAGTATAGTAAATAGCCATATATTGTGTGTATGTGTGGATTATAACAGCTACAATAAACCAAAATAATTTTTAAATTTTTATCTACTGTCCCTTGTGAATGGTTCTTTTAAACTGATCCAAGAATCATTTCAATAATTTTAAAGACAAACCAGATTTCATTGGTCACTGACTAACAGTGCGGGTTCCAAAATAAATTTTCTGTTAGATAGTTACTGTATAAGAAAATTTATTAGTCATAAACAACATAGAATCTTCAACAAAAATATGTCTAGTGGTTAGGCGTATGCGTTCGAGACCGAGGGTCTTGGGTTCGAATACCGCTAGCAGGATTGTGGATGTGCACTGTTTAGGGGTCCCATAATAGGAGGAAAGGGCCGTCTAGTGCTTCTAGGTTTTCAATGGTGATCTAACATCGATCGATTCATGATTTCAATCAAAAACGCAATAATTTCCACAATTCCATACTGAAAAGTATATCTGTCTATGTCATCACACCAACAGAATGAGTAACAAGATGAAAACTAAAGTAGTATATCTTAATAATCTCAATGATAATCAAACCATAAGCATAAAAAAGCTTGGAAATAAACAGATAAAAAGAGTAATGACGAAAATATCTCAATACTTTCAGGATAAAAAAACAAATGTTGTTTCACTACTGTGATTTCTCTTCATGTCACTTAAGATCCTCAACTAACCAGAACCATAAAAATATAAACAATAATATAAAGTTTACAGTTCCTTGTATGGTTGTACTAAAAATTTTATGTCTTTATAGACTGACATGATGATTTGTTCTAACGTTTACTGATCCTGTTTTGATCAACTTTGTTACTAGCTAGCATCATACATTACAAAAGCGTCTAAAAGCGTATACGTAACACAAAGAAATATAATTTCTTTAAGGGCAATGATAAACAAGGCAAGTGTACGGATAAACAGTACTTTTTGCAATAAATCTACCTCAGGTTCTGAAGTTATATATCAAAATGAATGATTTTCGAACAAGAGATAAATTTAAAATAAATAAATCTTTTTAAGTATTATAAAATAAAAATTTAAGATTGTTTGTAAAATCAAGTTGTTGTTGTTGTTGTCAGAATGGTTTATTTACAGTGTTTATCTGGAATCAGTTTAAATGTCAAATAAAATTGTGTCAATGACGATTAAAAGGAATGAAGATAACATACGAAGAGAGAAATTATAATACAATAAACAATCAGATTGAATGTTTAGTTAACGAATTCGATATACATGAAATTATACGAGTTAAAATGTCTTGAATAACATGATCTTTAATTTATTCATATTACTAAGCCTACAAATAATACGAAGACATGTAAATGATGATAATAATAACTATAGCACGCGGTTAAGAAAAATTTAAACTGGGAACTGAAGGAAGAAGGCTACGTGTAATATATTAGGTTATCTTTGAATTAAAATGAATATTGATCTTGTAGACTTGTGATAAACCAAATTAAATGGAAAGAACTGGATAAAATACTACTCAATCTCAAAAGTCTAATTATTTACTATTTTTGGTTATTGTTTCTCCTGTTTGACGGGCTCTGAGTCTGACAGATTTCAGTAAATAATGACTATTGAAAACGTATGATTTTTAGACGCTATGTGGCTAGTTCGAAATAAATTGAGTAGAAATGACGTTCTTAGAGTCCTAACTGCACTTTTGCTTAGCTAGTCTTGAAAGCATTCATGAACATGAAAATATAATTCTCTCACAAATAAGCTGAATCAACGTGTTCCGTGGGAGCAGTTAAATTAATGAATAAAAGATAATCAGTCTTTCTTTCTAAGGATCACCGTCGGATGCGTCGATTATGGTGTTCATGTTTAAACGTTCTCTGAGCTGTTTTGCATATCATCCAGGTTAATAATTTACTGACCATACTTCCTCATTGCAGGCCCATAAGTAGCGATTTCTTATTCATTGTTAGGTAGTATTATTAAAATCATGCTGCATAAACATGACAAAGAATAACAGGTATAGAAGTAGTTTAAGAAAAGAAGCTCAACTGCTTTCAAACATAAAATTTGGTCAAAAAATCTAAAAGAAACAGGGACAAACTCTGGTTTGTTACCGAGCAGTAACCAATCTTATGCTTATTTGATCTTTAGTTCTAATAAAGCTTCACAATTACAACGTGCTTAATTAAACCTAACATCACATTCAATAAGTTTGATACAATCTAGATTTGTCCTATTGAAATTCGTGAACTTAGATTTCGTGCGTGTTTGTTCTTATCAACCAAAAATCTTAGCCAGTGGTGAATCAAAAAGCATAGTTGAAACGTTTCTAACTACTATTGTATGAATCCATTCTAAACCTCATTGAAGACATTAGTTCTTCGAAAATTGTAGATACTCCTAGAAAACGTTCACAGATTTTTCCAATTGTTTCTAACTATCTAACGTGTGAATTAGCTGATGTGAACCATAAAATGAAAATGTTACAAGAATGAACATTAATATCATGATTATGTTCTACATTCACAATGTGACAATACAGTGATCATAAACCTTTTTTAAAAAAATGTCATAGTTACTGTATATAGACAGAAGGATTAAATGAAGGTCTACAAATATAATATGCTTCCAGGTTTTCCACGGTTATCTAGTTTTAATTGCCTCATGATATCAACCATTGAAATTACTACAATCTCCACAAATCCCTTTTCTGATACTAATCAAAAAATGCTCACTAGTGACTGGCATCAAGATGTATATCCCGGAGAAGCAGAACCAGTGGAGTTCAAATGGGTCACTTGTGAGATAGTAACTCACTAATGACAGTGACGAATATGTCACTCAATTTCGTGGATTGGTTGAAGTTAGACATTAACGCCGTTGGATACCAGCCGGCTTATTGGTCTAATGGTTAAGCGCTCACGCGCGAGACTGATAGATCCTGATTTCGAATCCCACGAAGTGGGATCGTGGATGCGCACTGCTGAGAAGTCCCACAATAAGACGAGATGGCCGTTCAGTGCTTCTAGGTTTCCTATGTTGGTCTAGCTTCAATTGACTCATGATCTCAACTATTAAACCTCTTCTGATAAGAATTATAATAATTAGTTATTTTTAAAAGGACTATTGAGTTAGCATAAACTTAAATACATTGGTAATAAATTGATTAGTTACTATGTATGACGAAATATACGTATATCATGATTGGAAAAATAATAATCATAAATTCTAAACTACTCATTATATAACATCAATATTTATTTACAACCACTTGATTACTAGAATACAACAATAAAATAGTCATAATTCAACTTTAAATACTAAATATATTTGTAAATCAACTTAATGTATGTATCTATGTAATTAAGTTTATTGTAACCAATCAGAATGCAAACAATAATAATTTTAATTTGGTCGAATCATTTTTAAGAATTTCATTATATATTATTTAATTCTTTATTAATAATTATATAAATTAAAATATTCGACTATACAAAATTAATACAAAACATTTTTTTCGGTTGTCATAGCAACATTTAAAAAATAAAATTAAGCAACAAAAAAAAAAAGAAAAAAATTTTAATGAATTAAAATAAAAAATTTAAAAAAAAATCATGTTCAATTCAAAAGGATGTTTAAATCATCTTACAAAAGAAGAAATTATGGTATATACATTTCGTGCTTATGTATCACCAATATTAGTTATTATTGGTATTCCATCAAATCTTTTAGTCATATTTGTATTTATTATAATTGAATATCATAAAACTTGTCGTTTTAATTTATATGCAATATGGATGGCTATTGCACATAATATACAATTAATTGTTAATACATTAATTGATGATTTTTTAGGTCGTGGATTAAAATATGCAACACAATGTAAATATTCAATACAAGTTGATATAGAATCATCATTTTTATGTAAAACATTTACTTATTTAACTGATGCTTCAGCATTAATTGCTGCATTTATATTAATGTTATTTAGTGTTGATCGTGTATGTTCAATTTATAATCCAAAACATTTTGAACAAAGTTCTCATGTTAAATTAGCACATATTATTATTGGTTTTGTTATAATTATTTGTTTAATATTAAATATACCACATTTAATATTTGCTGATTTAAAAATTCATTCAATAAATAATTCACATGAATGTCAATATATTAATCCTGTTGCTGGTGGTGTAAAATATGTTCTTTATTTATATATTATTGGTGTAGCTATACTACCAGCTATATTTATTTTTATTACAAATATTTTAATATTATATAAATTAAGTACAACAGTATATAGATCAAAATTAATTGGTACTAAAGATGATGAATCAAATAATGAAAGAGGGAAAGTAATAGCACATTTAGCTATTAGTATTTTATTTACAAGTTTATCTATACCATTAGTAGTAATGATTATTTTAAGACAACAAGTATATTTTTATAAATATGATATATTATATCCAGAATATACTAAACAAATTGTACAATATTCAAAATTATTTAGTTCAGTTGATTCATTTAATCATGCATTTGATTTTTTCTTATATTTAGCATTTATGCCAACATTTCGATTTGCATTAATGAATATAATTAAATGTAGAATATTTTTACGTAATAATCATTTAAATAAAAATTATCATCATGATAATCATATCGATGATAAATGTGAACAACACTATTTACATCATTTAGAACAAGAAATTAATATACCATTTACTGATCAAGAGACAATATCACTTTATTCAAATAAATTAATTTGTGTAGAAGATTTTTATTTAAATTCGAATAATTTAAATTATAGTACAGATCCTATACCATTTATTGATCAATATGTGAATTATTCACCGGAACATTATACAATGAAAACATTATGACAAAATATTATCTTAGCATTGATTTTTTTGTTTTTTGTGATTAAATGTTTAGTTAACTTTTTTCAAAAAGTTTATCATTACAATGTAATTGTCAATTATTCTTATTGTAAAAAAAGTGATTATCTATCCATGTAAACATATTTTGGATTTATTTTTAAATTCAATGAACATTCCTTATTTTTTATCTAAGAAATGAATTGAATAAACTTTATAGAAATATATATATATAATATCATAATGGACAATATAAATGTTTCTTGTTTAAAAAAGAAAAGAAAAGAAGAAGAAGAAAGAAATGCGATTTTGTTTCATTTGTCTCATGAATTACATTATTCGAACAATGATAATCAAATAAATTGAATAATGAAATTGTAAGACAAAACAAACTATATATATATATATATATATATATATATATATATATATATATATATATATATATATATATATATATATATAATATTTTGTACATTCCTTTTTTATATACAACAATAGAATATAAAAGAAAATCATTGATTGAATTAAATTATATGGAATTAATTTATTACACATTTGCTTTTGTAATAAATGTTGCTAAGTTTAATAAAATATAGTTATCTATCTATCTATTTATTTATCTATCTATATACACTTGAATATTGAACAATATTTGAATGGAGGCTTGACAACAAACATGAAAAGAAATCAGTTTTATTTAAATTAAATATTTTATCAAAATGTTTTTTTCTTTAGTTCTTAAATGGTAGGTAATGTTATTAAACGATAATAAAAAGAAAAGAAAAAAAAGGAAAAGAGAAAAGTGTAATACACCAGTATTTATAATTAACTATTTATGTATTAGATATGAAAATTAGATGTGAATATATAGAAAATAAATTAGTATTATAATAAATATAATTTATTTTTTGTTTATTTAAAATGTATCAATCATTGATAAGGAAATACGTTTTGATGAAAATCTTTTTTGGGGTTTTTTTCGTTGTACTTTTAATTGATTGATTTTTTTTAAAATTATTGATTTATTAAAATTGTTTGAATTATTGATTGATTGTATGTCAAGTTCAGCTCAAGTATTGTGCTCAAAAACAGAAAAACTGCAAATAGTATACTGTTCTTGTTCACTTTCATATATCCTAGTTACTAGGTTGAATACTAATAGTAATAGTCTAAGCCCACTTTATTATGTTTTGCACAGATAAAGTGGTAATGTGATTTTATTTTTCTTAAAATTAATATTTGTAGATATTGGTTTGAAGGTTTCCAATGAAATATATCGTTTTCTAAGTACTCTATCATATATGTCAAGTCTTTCTTAATACTGACTGAACACCCTCAATCTAGCTTCATCGACAGAAGTCGATTAACAGTAAGAAGGACTAGAAAAATATGATCTTGGTCACTAATCAGTGACCAGTAAGTTATCAATATATCTCTTTCTTACAGAAAGTCACGCATTGCCTGAATAACTTAGTAGTAACGTTTATGAATGAGGTTCTTAGTTACACATGATTGAGTTCACCGTAGGACATTAATTCCCTCATTCGAGTAGAGCAAAATTTAAGATCACGATTTCCTGTCGTCTACCCCTAAATGCCTTATTTGCTTGACATAATTTTTGTATGAACCAATTTTATAACATTCATACTATCAGTTTCAAATCCATTGCTGTTTACAAAGCGTACAAAATGTACTTAATATATATTTATTGCTTGATCTTCTCAGCATTATGGATTGAACCTTGAAATATTTCTTTTAAATATCTACAAAGATACAGCTATCTCTTCTTTTAATGTTAAACATTGATTTTTTCAACTTCAGCCTCGTTCTTTATTTCACTTGAATAATCGTGAAATATTACGTATAAAATTTTTTGCTATCTCTTTACACACAAGCCCTATCTATGTGTCCGAAGAAAATATAGAACACAGATCGAGCCGGTTTACATATATCATTAATATTTTTCTGAACTAAGATGAACAAGGAAACATATTCCAGAAATTTGCGCTGTATCATATCAACTTGTGCACTAGTGATACAAAGATGAAAGTATTAATGTTAGATCATCCATGGCTAGACGATTTAGCACATTGAATTCGGCATATATGAAATTCAATTTTAACTCGTATGCTTTTAAAAAGTATGCTATCATATGTTGAGTCGAATCCATTAATTGTCATTATTATATAATGTTAATTTAAGTTATTTTTTCATAAATGTGAAAATCAGTCTATCTAACCTTGACTTTCAAAATGAAAAAATCGCATTTCAGTGCCAGTGTCACGTGATTGTGCAGTAAATTTAGGTGCTGAAAGTTTCTTATTTCACTTAAATGTAATTCCTTTGTATAATTAAATATTTTAAGGAGACACTTAGAACATCAAACGTTTGTAACAAAAGAAGCACCTATCATTCTATGGCAATTCAGTCGTAGAAGTAAATAGAAGCGTAATACCAGTATGAGCTGACAAGTATGGTAGCACACAATGTTCCAATGAACAGGTATAAAACTTAACAATGTCCGCAAAATATTTAAAAGTTATCTGTAGGGGAGCAAATACCTTGTAAAATTGTAAGGCTTTTAGCATAAAAACGTATTATACTTACTGAAAATTGTAAGTTATCATGAATCAACGTTTCCAATATTTTGATGTACACATTTTGTTTCAATAAGTGAATTCAAAACTAAAAAGTTGTTTATTTAATTGATGATAAAATTGATATTGAATAAAATCATTCGTTTGGAATGAGATTTGTTCGTCTATTAATCACTTGTTCAGCTTATAGAACTAAGAACCGTTATTACTATATTTGTGAGAGTAGTCCTTATACTGTATAGGGCATTGATCAGTTACAGTTTATTATACTTCTATTTCGATCCACTTTTTAAATATGCATAAAAGTTTGAATATCTACAATTTACTATGAATTACCAAAAGTTCTCCTGTGAAACTACTCTCTATGAATTAAATCCAATAAGAATTGTGACAGTCATACATTTGTGATATAGGATAATGGTTATGCTATATGATGAACATATTAAAACTGTAGAATGTAGACGAAAAACAGTTCATGTTTATTATAACACCTGAATGTTTGACCATTTGTAAGAAGAAACAACGTTGATATTATTATAGAGATTCAGATTCATGTAAAATACTTATTGAAGGTTCTTTAGTTTGTTTCACTTAATCAAAGGTAAACACAACCTTTAAATAGAGAAAATCTTTACATGAGATTCTAATTAATTTATTCACTTCATATTTTCACCCTATAACACATTGAATATACATTTAAAACAAATTAAAGTCATTTATTTATAAACGGATTGCCGCTTTGTTTCAGTCCAATGAATATTACTTTAAAAACTGTATAAATTTGTATTAATTTTTCTTTTTTTTGTTGAAAAAAACGAAATAAACTGACAATAATAAGTTTTCTTATATTTTTTTTACTAAATAAATCAATCTTTATGTATTTAATATCAGATGGGTTTTGTGGATATTATAGTAATTTCAATGGTTAAGATCATGAATCAGTTGAAGCTAGACCAGCATGGAAAACCTGGGAGCACTGGACGGCCGTTTCGTCCTAGTGTGGGACTCCTCAGCAGTGCGCATCCACGACCTCGCCCGAGGACCTACTGGTTTCGGGCGCGAGCACTTAACCATTAGACCAATGAGCCGGCCTCCAACGGTGTTGATGTCTAAGATCAACTTATCCACGAAATTGAGCGACACATCCACCATTGTCTTCAGTGAGCTGCTATCTCACAACAGACCTGGTTGAACTCCACTGGTCACTACTTCTCTCTAAAACTCCAGGATATACCTTGTGTATTCGACAAAACAAACAGGATAGTTTAATCAATTTTCTCAAAATTATTATTATTATTTCCTTTTTTCCCCATATTTTGTCTGATTTTAAAACTTACATATTTTTTAATAACAATAAATGAAGAAAAACAAAATTTTCTTTGTAAACGAATATTTCTTTTAAAAAAAATATTATTGATATACTTACGTAATATATTTCGAACAATCGGATCACACATATACTTATCATTATCGAAAAGACAAGGTCTATGTTTCCCCAAAAGCCCAAACAGCACCTAAAGCGATTGTGTCACATCCCATTATGTCTATCAATTTACATGTATGTGCGGAAACACTTACATAGAGAGGAACAATCGTGATTTGCAATTAAGAGTGGGTGAACTCATACCAAAATGGCTGCACAAACAAATGAATTCCAATGGTACAATAAGATCACATGATAGACAGGCATTATCCTCCATTGCGAACGATTTTATTGAGACTGGTCATAAGGTTGACGTCAAGTCAGCATTTGTAGAGTTATACAAAAGCCTTTAAGGACATATACTAAGAAATTTCACAGGTTGAAATCATGAGTCAGTTGAAGCTAGACCACCATTGAAAACCTGGAAGCACTGGACGGCCGTTTCGACCTGGTATGGGACTCCTCAGCAGTGCGCATCCACGATCCCACACCACGTGGGGCTCGAACCCAGGACCTACTGGCTTCGCGCGCGAGCACTTAACCAGTAGACCACTGAGCCGGCATCCAACGGTGTTAATGTCTAACTTCAACCAATCCACGAAGTTGCGCCACTAAGGTTTATTAAAGCCTTGGCTATACAGAAATTGAAACCGCCTTTATGCTTTCAAAAACAATTTGTCCTTACACTTAACCTACCCTGATAATACTGATTTATTATCCAGAGTGGTAATCACATTTGTTTTTGTGTACTTTCATATTTTTCCTTTGTTATGCCTTACCCTTAACCTGTCTAGTTGACCTTTTAATTTTCATATATAAATGTTCTCAACAAGTATATGTGTGATCAGATTGTTCGAAATGTATTGCGCAAATATATCATATAATTCTGATAAACTTCATCTTCTCATTACATTGTCGACATTTATCAAAGGGACTAAGTGTTTTAAATTTAACTATTAATCTTATTATCACTTTAAATACTT